ACAGTGCTAAACTCTGAGTAAAGGATTAAAAATATGGATATTTCTTTTAATTTTTGAAATTATAATATCATCACATCATTTCCTCCTTTGTTTTTTCCTCCAAATGTACCCATATACCCCCTCATTTCTCTCTTTCAAATTCATAGTCTTTTTTATTAAATATTATATACATATACACATATGTATCTATACATATATTTTCACAAATACATAAATACAACCAGCTCAGTTTGTGTAATATAGCAGCTTGTAGAATGTTTTCAGCCTGACCATTAGGTATTGGATGGCCAGCTGCTATGCACTGGAGGACTTTAAGATAGAAAATTGAGAATTTAATTGTATTAACATTTGAGGTGATAAGCATTTGCCAAACAACTAGAGCTCAACATGAAGTAGGGCTTTGTGGCAATCAATAAAACTGACTTGGAAGTGTGAGCAGGGAAGGGTCATTTCTCAATTGCCGATTCTATATTTAGAGATCTGGTATCCATCTCTGACCATGTAGGGAATTTTTCCTCTGAGTTTTCAGAAACATATATGTACACAGAGATATATACAAATAAACTTACATACACATACATATATACACACATATGCACACACAATATCATATATTCTAAGGTTCACTCTTTTAACAATTTTCTATATTTGAAATTATTTTATTTTGAAATTTTATTTGACAAGTAATAGTTGAATATTATAAAGTACTAATGCTGTGTTTTGGTATAGGTAGGTGACAATATCAGAAATTTACTCATTTTTAAATACATAATGTTTTATTATTGACTATATCCATCGTGGTATAAAATAGATGTCAAGAATTTACTATTCCTGTTTGAGACTGTGTTTTTTTTTTATTTTGTAGCTTTTAAGGATGTGGCCATACTCTGCAGAACTCAGCAGGCCTAAAATTCATTTGTAGCAGCTGACTTCGAACTCAAGGTACTCTTTGTCTCAGCCTCACAAGTGCTGTGATTATAGGCATGCATCAGCATGCCCAACAGCTTGGTACATTTTAGTGAACGTTCCTGCCCCACAGCATATCCCTGTGGGGCTCTCAGTCACTACCATTCAACTGCATGAATATGAGTTTGATTATTTTTCTCTGGTAAGATTACATACAAATGAGATCAAGCTGGTCATGATGGTGTATGTTTATAAAAGAAAGCTTATAACCCACAAAACTGGAAGTTTGTGATATATATTAGTGGTAAGTGCTTGCCTAATGTATGTAAAGCTCCAGGTTTCAACCCTCAGCTCTGTAAAACCAAACCAAGTTATATGAAATGAGAAATGACATTAGATAGTATGTTCTATGCTTGACTTGTTTTACTAAGTACAGTGTTCTCCAGGCTCATTTATGGTTTTGTAAAGGATAGAATGCTACATTCTGAAGCTAAATAGCATTCAAATCTCTGTATATACACTCAGTGACAAGTAGAGAATGTGAGGCAGTTGACAAATCAACAACTCAGTTTTTTTTTTTTAACAAAGAACAAAATGGGGATGGTGGCTGCTCAAACCGGGAATGGTGGCTGCTAGTGATTAAAAGAGACTCACGAGATACACGAATTTCCTAGTTATTTCTTTATCAGAAGGACAGAAGCTAATGACCCATCTTTTAAATTAGTGCTAGCCTTAATCACTTGCTTAACCAATTAAAAACAATGATAGTGACATCCTGAGGATTCCAGGACTAGAAATTTGGAAGATGCCTCATGGAGGCTCTTTGAACATCTTCTCTGGGACCTCCTACGTCTCTTCCTAAGAAATTGGAATCGCCTTACATCAGAATGCTATAGACACCAGCATGTGTTGGTACAGGAGCCAACCTATGAAAGATGTATTGCATAATGATTAGATGGGAAAAGTAACACATCATATTTTTTAACTTGTATTTTGCATTTATTTGTGCAGATGTGTGCATGAATGTACATATGTATAGGCCATGGTATCTGTGCAGAGTTCACAAGACAATTTGTAAGAGCTGATGCTTTCCTTCTAGAGTGTGGGTCTTAGAGATGGTCCAGGCTTGGTGGCAAGAACTGTTATCCACAGAGCCATCTCCCTTTCCCAACATTTCATATTTTAAGCCAGAAGTTGAGATGTTGTTTTGGTAGAAGGTTTATGGGGCTGGGTGGCGTTGGATGAGAAGGTAAAAGACACATTGGGTGTGTGTGTGTGTGTGTGTGTGTGTGTGTGTGTGTGTGTGTGTGTGTATGGTGTGTATGTAACATTTGTAAGGTAACTTTGTATTAGAATGAAAATGATACTTTATAAATTGTGTGAGGAATTAAGTTGCCTTATTTGAGATCTCCCAACTAACCAGTGACAGGAAATTGGTTTGGGAAGAGAGAAAAAAAGATGCGTGATTATTTCTTTCATTATGAATGTGCATTCCTGACATCTCTGAGGACTAAGATTGTCCTGCAGGGAATATGATTAAAGTTAAAAAGAGAGAAAACAAAATAAGTAAGTCAGCTTTTGATCGTGCTGCTATATTTACCCACAGAAAGGAGGCAGCTCTCAGGTGGGCTTTTGTTCCAGTAATGTCCTGAAATCCTTGTGTAAAAGAACAATATGAAATCTCAATTCTCCCAAATGGTTTGGGGCGAGTTCAGCTCTTGAGCCCCTGGGGGGCTCCGTTCCCAAGGAGACTAATCCCACTTGCTCAGCATTAGGCATCACCAGGAGGAAAGAGCTCTCCATTGGAGATCTGCAGATCCCCTGGTGCAGGCTGGAGTTGAGTCCCTAGGCTCTATAGGAAGTGAAATGTATTGATGTCAAAGCCATCAAGTGAATACTTTCACTCAGGGTTTAGGAGGAGGGGCTGTAGGGTCTGGCAGGAGTGAGCCACTGGCTCAACTAAAATCAATTTTATCCTAGATAGCCCTCTTCCAAAAAAAGGGAAAACATGTAGGAGAAAAGCAACTGAGGCCACTGTCTGGATAATATAACTGGATAGTTTAAGCTCTTAGAACTTCCTCTGGTTTCAGGAATAGAATAATTCAAGCAAAAGTTATTCTCTATTGATTATTTTCCATAAACATCATTGCTTTCACTTACTCGTGGATCTGGGCTGTTCTCTCGGAGAGATAGTGCGTATTTGCTTGAAACACTGAGGAATATCATGTAAGTCTTTGCTCCAATACTACCCTATCTTTGTAAATAGCTTACCTTCTTTGGGCCACCTTGAGGGTCCTTTTATCCCATCAACTCTTGTGCCTTTAACTACTTCGGTTATATATTACAATGCCTTGCATGCACGACTGCTTTTCCATTAGAAAGAGCTGGCAGCATAGCTTCTTATCTCTGCATCCCCAGTATACACACAGTAGTAACTACAGTATATGCACAGCCTAGAGTGAGTGTCAATATTTTTCTGCCAAATGAATAAGTGACTGGATGGGCATAGATGTTAACATTGTGAATCATGAAAAGTTACAAGTATTTTACTTTTCTATATATATAGTTGTCAAAAATTTTTCACTCTATCGTCTTGTTGGTTTTTCATTGAGCAGTTCTCAGATTATTTCTATTTTGTAGGTTAGAGTCTGCAGGAGAAGTTTTGTACTGCCAGGTAATAAAGGCAAAATTCGACTCCAGTGGTAGCCTTTGGGTGGAATTTCAGCACTACTTCCACTATAGTCCACTGTCCTTTTAAAATTCCTATAATCCACTAGCACAGCTGCTTTCTTGCACTTGGAAATAGGCCCTTGGTTGGGGACAAAGGACAAATGATGCCGATTTTATAGTCTGCTAGGTTGGAGTAGAATGGGTTGGACATAGAAATCAAGAACACAGAGTTCACTGGGTCACAATTTTATGCCACATGAGGAAGTGAGAGAGCCTTCACCATACTAGAAGAGTAAGACTTTCCATTAAAATTTGCCTACTATGTCGTATAACCCTCTCAAAATCCATGAGAATAGTTATCCCTATTCCCATGTCTTAGATGAGGAATGGAAATGATTTGAAAAAATAATTTTGATGTGTAGAAATCCAACTGTCTAGAAATGAAGCATTTTTACAGATGAATCTTCATAGTCCATTTATTTTAAATATGATTGTGTTATTAGAAGTTTTGTTTCCTTCAGACTTTCAAGTGTAGAATCTTGTACAGTTGGGCTCTGGACATTTCTAATTAAGCTCTTGGCATCTCTCTTGGACTCTGGGTGTCTGACTGAACCTGAATGACAGGAATGATAATTGAGCCAACTTGGTTCAACTTTTCAGGTTTGAATACATGCATATTCTCATTGCTTAAATAAACCTGTCCTCTTTGGCAAGGGTGTATGAATACTCCAACATATTCTTGTTCATGCTGCAGAAAAAACGAGGCTTGAAATAAGACTTTGGAAGAGATGGTTTATACCTCCTTGGTGACCAATACCATGATAACTAAGAGAACTCTGTCATCTGCACAGGGCTTTCCTATGTCGGCATCAGGGCATCAGTTGATCCTCACAAAAACCTGTGCCTGAGAGGGCATGTCAAGGAGTGTAGCCATCTCCACTGCCTGCTTCTTTTATAATAATTGCTGTATGTCTCTAAACTTCTCAGAGATCCAGTTTCTTTTGTTGATTGGTGACAAAAACACGCAGTTCACGAGGCTGTTGGACAGGATTAAAAGTGATGAAGGACAGACAATGACTGGCGCAGGGTATCCATCGAGAAGTTGGAAGCTGGTGGATCTCACTGATTCCAGAGCAGGGATTGAAACCCGGGTTTGAGGACTCATGACTACTCTTCTTTAGGCACCCAGCCCAGGCCCAGGGTGTGGTTTTACATGGACTGAGCTGGGGTTTGAACACAGGCTTTCTCCTCACCGCTGGAGTTTGAGGCCAGTCAAAACAAAAGCCCCAGGGCACAGGGTAAAGAAAGGGTTAAGGCTTATGAAAGCTCGGAAAACAAGAAAAGCCCGAGTTCACCCCCCCCCCCACCCTCTACCCCGGCCCGCCCCCTAAGCCTGGCTAAGCAAGCCCCACCCCTCCGCTACCGGGGCGGTCGCCTCGCGCTCCCACCCTCCGCCTCAGCCTTACAAGATCTAATGAGCTCCCCCGGGAGGCTGAGCCGCGAGCCCCGGCCGGAGCGAGCAGAGAGCGCCGCGCCTGGGCGGGAGCGGGCCGGGAGCGGACGGGTCGTGCTACGGACTGCTCAGGAGCCGCGGCGATGGCGGTGCAGGCTGCGCTGCTCAGCTCGCACCCCTTCATACCCTTCGGTTTCGGAGGTTCCACGGACGGACTGGTGAGCGCCTTCGGAAGTTTGGACAAGGGCTGCTGTTTCGAGGACGATGAGAGCGGGGCGCCCGCGGGAGCGCTGCTGTCGGGATCCGAGGGCGGGGACTTACGCGAGGCCACCCGCGACCTGCTCAGCTTCATAGACTCGGCGTCCAGCAACATCAAGCTGGCGCTGGACAAGCCCGGCAAGTCCAAGCGGAAGGTTAACCACCGCAAGTACCTGCAGAAGCAGATCAAGCGCTGCAGTGGCCTCATGGGCACCGCGCCTCCGGGACCGCCATCCCCCAGCGCTGGGGACGCTCCAGCTAAAAGGCCGCCAGGTGCCCCGGGAGCCCCGACCGTGGCAGCCCCGGCGCATTGCAAGGCCACCCCGAGGAGGGAGGCGACGCAGGCTGCGGCTGCCGCCAGCCTGCAAAGCCGGAGTCTTGCTGCCCTTTTCGACTCTCTGCATCACGTTCCCGGGGTCGCAGAGCCGGCAGGCGGTGCGGTGGCCGTGCCGGTCCCGGGCCTCGGGGCAGCGGGGGCAGCGAGCGCTGCGGGCGACGGGGCCAGCACCGCGGGGAGCTCAGCGGCCCCTGGCACTAGGAAGGTCCCTCTGCGCGCCCGCAACCTGCCCCCGTCCTTCTTCACTGAGCCGTCTCGCGTGGGTGCCAGCGGCGGCTGCGGCTGTGGCCCCTCGAGCCAGGGCATGAGCCTGGGTGACCTAGAGAAAGGGGCGGAGGCCGTGGAGTTCTTTGAGTTGCTGGCGCCAGACTTCGGCGCTGGCAACGACACGGGCGTCTTGCTGGCCGCGGAGCCCCTGGACGCGTTTCCCACTGGAGTCCTAAGGGGACCCTTGGAGCTGGAGTCTGGCCCCTTTGAGCCGCCGGCGATGATGGGGAACCTACTATACCCCGAGCCCTGGAGCACCCCGAGCTGTCCCCAACCCAAGAAGCCTCCTCTGGCAGGCGTTCGCAGCGGTGTGACCTTGAACGAGCCTGTGCGCCTCCTGTACCCCACAACCTTGGACTCTCCAGGTGGGGAGGACACACCAGCCTTGGCCTCTTTCACCCCCTTCTTCCCAGATTGCGCGCTGCCGCCGCCTCATCAAGTGTCCTATGATTACAGTGCTGGCTACAGCCGCGCAGTTTACCCCAGCCTCTGGAGATCCGACGGGTTCTGGGAAGGGGCATCTGGGGAAGACGGGGCGCACCCAGACTGACTGCGAGGTACCCTTCGCTTCCCTTATGACTGCTGTGGGCTCCGTGCCACTGTGGGTCTCTCCTGAGTGGAGAGAAGATGTTAAAACTCCCGTGAAGACGAAATGGGATTAAAAGAAAAACAAACAAACCACAATTCACCTAATAAGAGAAACTCCAGAAAAAGAGATGAAGAGGAGTTGAGAGTTGTTTTAACCAGAGTGTGAGATTTTATTTTCTTTCTTCTAAGTGACCATTAGATTCTTACTTGGACCAGAAGATCCCCAAAAGCCCGAGACGGTTTGGGGAATAATAGGGTGGGATGATGGAAGGGTCAAGAACAAGACAGGGACTTTATAGCCAACTGTGTCATCTCAGCTCAGCCAAGGTCAGTGTGTTTAATGTCGTTACCCCTTTAAAGCAGTGCCCTGGTGTCTCCCCTTGAGTACATTATGAATTAAAGCCTTTATTGAAAGAATCGGAGCAGAGATATGTGGTCATTGAGTTGAGTGTTTTCTTAGTCTTACTTAGTGTTTTCACAGATCTCTCAGCTTTGCTAGGTGGAGGCTGTGGGTGGTGGCTGGTTTCTGGTAAGGCTTTATCCCAATGCTGGTCTCTCTTCCTTTTCCTTTTCTTGCAGGTTTTTAGGAGTAGGGTGGGGGGTGGGGGCTGATGGTGCCATTACAACTAGTTTTTCACTGTGCTGGCTATTGAACCAAAGGGTTCAAACAGGCTAAGCAAGGTGCTTATCCCCAAGTTGTGAGTTTGAGTTTCTTCTTTCATTCTTGAGATCCACCCACTCCCCTCAGGCTACACACGCTTTCCCTTTTCTTTCTGCTGTTACCTGCACAGGGCTTACCTCTCCCTCTTGCTCTAGCCTCTCATTGCTCTCTATTTCTGTTTGCTACCCTTGGTTCTCTTACTTCTCCAAGATAGAAAAAGACTTGGCAAGTCTAGAGGCTCGTTTTTTCCCCCCCCTTTACCAACCATTTTGGGAGGGGGGAGGGGAGACAGGTTATAGCCTCTTTGATTCTAAGTTTCCTTTTCACATCAGAGAATGACAACCTTTCTCTACTAACTTTGCAGCTGTTTGGGTGGCTCAGACGTGAAATACACAAAATGTCTTGAGACTGTTGCATTGCACGGGACTGAGGATATATATGTATCTCTGTAAGCATATCAGTGGCTTCTACACTGGAAACCTTTGGGCATGTTATTCTCACATTTTATTTGTTTGTTTGGTTTGGGACCTTAAGACAGCTAGCTGTACAACTTTACCAACTCGTTTCCATCCACATCCTTGCTCCCCAGCCCCTACCTCCTTGATCTTCCTTGCTCCTTGTCACTCATCATGATAGGGGGTGGTGGAGGGTACATTATTTCCAAAGGGAGATTTTCTATTCTCTTTATTAGACAATCGAATCTGACTGGGAATGGGGAGCGGCAGGGGTGGGGGTGGGGTGGGGTTGGGATGGAGACTCCCAGGGGGTAAAGAGTTCCAGGGAAAAAGTTTAACCAGTCCTGAATGTGGCTGAGAGGATTTACAACACCATCGGGATGATTGAGGTCAAGAGGAAGAAAGTGCCTGTGGGAAGGGAACAGCTGGAGGCAAGAGAGGAGGCTGCTGAGGACAGAATGGCAGGTAAGAATGCAAGAGGAGACCTGTGCCCCGAAATGGAGTGGGGGCCATCTACAGACTGACTGCTGCTTCCATGCAAGACAGCCAAGACTGTGAGAACAGTTACATGCGAGAAAGAAAAGTCAGTGCTGCTGCCAGGGATTAAAAATCCAGGGCCAGCACTGCTGTAGAGTTTGGAAAGGTGTATGAAGCAATGATGGGTAGGGCTCCAAACGCTGTTATCCAATCACTCTCCTCCGAGCAAAACTTTTCTTATGAAAGCTAAACTTCGCTAGGGATAGAGCAGTTGCCATGAAAAGAACCTTCCAATTCCAGAAACCTGGCTGCCGAATTCCTTCACAGGGCAGAAAAGGGATTCATTTCATGGTGTTAGCGCAGTACTCAACAGCCATTTAACTTCTCTATGTTGTTTTATGGTGAGAATAATCCAGGGAAGAATTTCAGTCAGACACTACCACCATGGCTGTTCATAAGGTTTGCAGCCACTGAGTCTCTTCTTACTTCTAGCCCCATTTAGAAAGAACAAGATATCTTTTGATCAGCCTCTTGTTTTCTATGCCTTCCCCATTCATGGTAATAATGCTGACACCGCATGTTTCTATGTGCCAAGTGTGGAGCAAAGCATCAGTTTACTGATTTTCTTTCCAGGGACAGTGGTGGTGGTGGTGGTGGTGGCAGGGAAGTTGCTTTTGAAAGCTGAAGTTCAGATGGTCAAAGTTCTAATTCACTGAAAGCAAGTGGTGGTCCACATCATGAGTACCTAGACACCAAGACCTGCCTGTCATCTGTGAGGTTTTGCTATGATTTGCACACACAGGTTTCCCAGCTCTGACACTAAACCAGTAGCAGAGGTTCCCAATCCTCAGTGCTGTTGAAAGTTTGGGTAACACAATTCCTTATGGCCAAATGTTCAGCAGCATGTCTGGGCTTGTCCATTAGATGCCAGTGGTACACTGCTTGTTGTGATAATGAAATCTATCCCCATTGTTACATGTACCCTCAGATGCAGAATTACTACCAGTTGAGAGCTATTTTGCTAGACAAATATAACCTCAGTGTCTGTGGGGAGTCCAGCACTTTCACTTGATTCTTATTTATTTGTTATCACATTTATTATCTAATTCTGAAAGAGGCTCAAATATAGGTGTTTTTTATTTTCTTCTTATTACTGGTAAATAATAAAGAAGGCTGAGGGAAGGGTTAAATCAGTTAACTTAGTTACAACTTATTATTGTTTATTTACCGGCCATGGTCCAGTTACTGTATTGAATTGTGGTTTCCCCACTGACAAACTAGAGAACAGTCTATTACAGAGGATTATTGTAAGAATATGTCATAAGGAGTTTATAAAGGCCCACCAAGAGGGAGGTGTCAGTATTTGATAGTCCAGGCTTGTGGTTATGTTAAACTGTCTTGTTTTCCAGACTTCTATGTGTACTGGACCCTGACATAGCCTCCCCCCACCCCATTTCCTCACCTCTGATTCCTTTTTCCTATGTTCCCTTCCAGTCTGAGTTTATCTAAATCTGCTATGACACACACTGTAGTACAGTAAGTGATACTCATAGTGTCCCTGCCAAAGGTGAACATGTGTCCTTTTAGTCATTTTCAAATCTGTATCTTATCTCTTGTGTAGCCACACAGTTATCCATAAAAATATTTTTAAGAGCAATGAAAGATATTTCTCAAGGAGTATAATGTAATTGTATGACTGGGAAAGCTTGAGACTCTATTTAGTTGGAAGTGATAAGTTTGTGTAGAACATATATTCTTTATTGCCTCTTCAGATGGTCATTCTTGATGTCTGGAATGAGTTCTTAGTGTCATCCTGCAACTTTGTAATGTCTCAACTCTTTGTCTGGCTTCATTCAAGCTGCCATATACCCGTTATCATACCACTGGATCCTGACATGGTAGAGACCCTGTGTTTCAGTCTCTTCTTTTCCCATATCCCTTTCATCTTCTCCCTGCAATTACCTAGCCTTCTGTCCCAGGATCCTGCCTGCTCTGCTCCAAGGGAAAACATCGCTCCATTTATTATTTGTATTCTGTATCATTGGCCTTTGTATGTCCTCATTTCCCCTCATATTCTGGAAATAAATTTTTAGTATAAGTTAAAAAATTACAAGAGGAGAGGAATACTTGAGTGAAAAATTTCAACTTTTGACCATTTCCCCTGTAAGTACCATTCTATTATCTCAAGAATCAAGTTTCTTGGGGAAGAGCCCACACCATTTGCCTCTACCCCAATTGGCCATTTGAACTTTTATTATTTTGAGTCTAGTGTGATCAACATTATAATTTCCCAGGGATGCCCAGGTTTAAGACTACAAGTTGTACATACCAAGAAATCCCTAAATCCATAGTATATTCTGCCTTTGTCCATCAATTCCTGGGAATTCATCCCAGCGAGGCCCCACCAGAATTCAATTTTTCTTGCCTTCTGTCCTACGTGTGAATAGAGGTGCTCCATTTTCCTTAAACAGCCACCATGTGATTGTGGAACCTCATTTCCCCTTCCTTAACTCTGGGCCCTTGTCTTCTCTCCTCACTGGAGTCCTTGCTTGCTGGTATTCTTCAGAGCTCCTTTGTCTGTTCTTTATTCTTTACACTCCTCGCATTCTTCCTGGGAGATGGTGGTTTTCCTCATACCTTCATCTATTCTGTATGTTCTGATGAGCACCACCCTGACTCAGATGTGCACTTATAGCTTCTTTCCTCCATATCAGACAATTAATACTCTCTAGACAGTATGTCTTAGGGACTCCGTAACTCCCCAAACTCTGTTTGAAATTGAACATATACTCAAACTGACTAGTCACAGTCAACTTAACCACACCATCTCCATCCATCCAAATGGCTACCGAGGCCTGCTAAGTTAATATAAATATTTTTGTGTGACATCTTGCTCAATATGCCCATATTCACATTTATATAAATTCATGTTTGTATATTCTCATACATAAGAATTGAAGTCTTACTAGGTCATTTCTCTGTTTCAATAAATGACTAAAAAACCAAAACAAACAAACAAACAAAAAACCAAAGTAAAGCTTATGCTCCTGCCAAGGAGTTCTAGGACACTGATATTTTCTTTTCCATTTATTCTTAAACATAGGTAGTGTTCATTAGACTAAAGTCACTACCTCCTTGGTCTTCTAGTAGCTAGGATGATTTAACAATAATTAATGGGTTGAATCTTCAGTTTGAAAGGTAGTGAATTAAATTCTAGTCTATTTCTGTTTTCTCCATTCTGGTACTGACGCTTCCTTAGTTTGAAGCCTCAGTACTTGTTACGTGGCCCACTCCATTGATCTCTCAATGACTTTCTTGTCTATGGTCTTGAAGTCCTCTTATTCATCCTCTCCATTCCTTGCTAAGATGAGACTTCAAAAAGCAACTCTGTTGTAACTACTATCTTTAAAATTCTTGAATGGTTTCCTTCGTGAACTTCAAAGTCTTTGCATGTAGGAGTAACTTCTGCCATCTTCTCTAGCCTCAATCATGACTCCCCTAAGATAACTTATGGTTAAGGGATTTTAATACTAATCACAGTTGCTCTACTGCTCCATATCCTTGATTTTACCAAACTGTATTAAGAATTTACTTCTGCCCCACTTAATCCTAGGATACACTCTTCTGATTTCTCTGCTTTCTTTTTAGCATCAGTGTCACCCTCTTGTAAAACATTTTCTGGGAGCTACTGAGCACTTGTTCTCAAATCTTTTATTAAATTCCAAGATTTTTTAGCAATTGATTAGACTTTTAAAAAATGATTGTCATTTCTCTGCCTTCTTTACTGGGAGCCTATGCAGTCTTACTGATTTTGGAATTGGACA